AAGTGGGATCATACAATATTTGTCCTTTTCTGATTGACTTATTTCAGTCAGCATAATGTCCTCAAGATTCATCCATGTTGTGTTTCGAGACCTCATCGTTGTTCTTTATAGCTGTGTAGTATTCCATTGTATGTATGTACCACAGTTTGTTTATCTGTTCATCCATTTGATGGGCACTTAGGTCGTTTTCATCTTTTGCTGTTGTGGATAGTGCTGCCGTGAACATAGGTGTGCATGTGTCTATTCATGTCACTGATGTTCGATCTCTAGGGTATATACCTAGGAGTGGGATTGCTGGATCATAAGGTATTTCTATTTCCAGCTTTTTGAGAACGCGTCATACCGTTTTCCATAGTTGTTGTGCCATTTTGCGATTCCACCAGCAGTGGATAAGGGTTCCATTCTCCCTGCAACAAAAACATTTATTTCCTGTTTTTTTGATCAGCGTCATTTTTGCAGGGCTAAGATGGTATCTTATTGTAGTTTTGATTTGCTTCTCTCTAATGGCTAATGAAGGAAGCCCTGGTGGTGTAGTGATTAAGTGCTACAGCTGCTAACCAACAGGTTGGCAGTTCGAAGCCACCTGGCGCTCCTTGGAAACCATATGGGGCAGTTCTACTCTGTCCTATAGGGTTACTATGAGTCAGAATCAACTCGATGGCAACGGGTTTGGTTTGGAAAACCAGGTGGCATAGCGGTTAAGAGCTACTGCTGCTAACCAAAAGGTCAGCAGTTTGAATTCACCAGGTGTTCCTTGGAAACTGTGTGGGACGGTTCTACTCTGTCCTATAGGGTCACTATGAGTCAGAATGGACTCAACGGCAATGAGTAATGGCTAATGATTGCGAGCATCTTTTCATGTGTTCGTTGGCTGCCTTGCTGTGGATATTCTTAAACGTGAATCCTGGTACACATGTGCATGCATTTCTCAATACCATATTTCCAAGATGAAATTGCTGGCGTAACCGAAAATGACTATCTTCAAATTCACGCAGTAGTGCAGATGCTGTGTAACGAAGCAGTAGTATTGCTTTATGCACTCAGCAGCCATGAATGAGAGTCCCCCAGACCAGCCCTCTTTCCACCTCAGAAATCATCATGGCGCACTGGCCTTCCAGGGGTGGAGACTTGACAGGCTTCAGCCCGGTGCCCCAGCAGAGGAGGTTCATGTTAAGTACCTTGTGTGAGCCTTCCTCCAGAGAAGAGAGAGCTGTTTAGACAGAACAGAATTCCTGTGACTTCGAATCAGTAACACTCAAAACTGAGAACGTGTGTGGAGAGAGAATGTTGAGCTGGTGTTTGTTTTGCTCCTCTTTCTCAATGTAGATATTCGAACAAAACGTGTTAAGCTTCTTTGACAGCTTAAATTTAGTGTTGTGTGTCATCATATCACTGCACTGCTCGCTGAGGGGGTGGCGTGTGGCATCGTCCTTTTCTAGTCTGATTTCTCCAAGTCTGTTTCAGAAAACCAGGCATGAAAGAACCACAGCAGACATGAGCAGGGCTAGTGGAGTTACCTTTGTCGGGATCATTCCCTTGAACTCTCTTTCCTGAGGGCTGAGTTGTTTGGGGCCCAGAGTAGCTCCATTTCCATCAGATCCAGGGAACTGGCTCAGCTTATGAAATTGTCTCCTGCAGTGCCCCAGCTGTCCCATTAGGGGACATTCCCAATCAGGAAGGTCTGGGGTAGGGCCAGACTCCAGGACAGAATCAAAGGC